CGGTACAGGGCCTGAGCGCATCCTCTGCAGACAGAGCAAGCGGAGGCCCAGCACTCATGCTGCCAGGACATCAGACACACACAGGCCCCAGGAGGGAGCCCCGGCCTGAGCCCTCGCCCAGGACAGCAGGGGGATCTGGCAGGGCTGGGGGGATCCTGAGACCCTGGAAAGCTCACTGCGTGGGGACCTCTCTTCTGATGTGGGTCCAGGCTGGAGAAACCCAGCTCCCCTGGACAGCGGTGCCCTTCGGGCCTGGCTCCCAAGGGCTGCCTGACGCCCCAGCCCACCTCCCTCCCTCCCCTGCCCCACAGCACCCTGCCTGCCCCATCCACTTGGGAGTCTGTCCCGATATCCTCTCCCCCCACGAATCTGTGAGGTATTGGGGGACAGAGGCTGCATCTCACTGCTCCCTGTGTCACTAGAGCTCCTAGCTCTACATACACATCCAAAGAGGAGGGACAGCAAGCTGGAGAGAGCAACCAGGGGAAGAAAGAAAAAGAGGAGAAGGCAAAGAAAAGAGGCAGACCTCCTCGTCCCCCACCCACGCCCGAGGGTCTGGTCCCACTCCACCCAGGCACACAGTGCGGGGCAGGGACAGGCCTTGGGCTCCTGCCCGGGCTGAGTAGTGGTCTCAGCGTGAGCTGGAAGCCGGTGCGGGAGCCAGACCGCCTGCCCAGGACCCGGGCCACCACTTCCAGTGTGACCTCGGGCACATCCCCGAACCTCACCTGTCAGTGGAGGTAACCACAGTACCCACCTCATTTGGCTAAGGAAGGGTTTAGGACACCACAAGAATTAGCTTTTCTTATTTTAGGTAAGAACCAAGGCTTTGAACATATCCATGCTCAAAAAACTTGATGAAATCCCAGAATGCCAGAGCTCAAAGGGGCCTCAGCCATGGTCACCTACGCAACCTGCTCATCTCCCAGGTGAGGGGAGTGTGTGCTGTCACCCAGGTGAGGCAGAGACGGGCCCACAGGCAGGTCTCCTCTCCCAGCTCAACCTGCTCACTCACGGGGGATTCATCCAGCACCTCCCAGGAGTGTGCCAGTGCCAGCGCAGGGATGGCCTGGACCCTGTGGTCTGCAGGGACAGGGATATGACGAGGAAAAGATGGAAGGGCAGCCCGCCCGTGGCTCAGTTGATTGGAACGTTGTCCCATACACCAAAGGGTTGAGGGTTTGATCCCCGGGCGGGGCGCATGAGGGAGGCAACTGATCGATGTTTCTCTCTCTCTCTCACATCAATGTTTCTCTCTCTCTCTCTCCCCCTCCCTCCTTTCCTCTAGGAGGGGAAGTGAAGGGAGGGGCAGTGAAGGGAGGCGCGTGGCGCTGTGCCACGGGAGTGGATCTTGTTAAGATGCTCAGCAGAGGCTTCCTAAGAAAGTGACACCTGAGCTGAGGACCAGGCACGGGAGGGGCCAGAAGGCGAGGAGATGACGAGAAGCCTTCCAGACAGAGGTCGCCACTTGGACGAGTACAAAAGTCTGAGGAAGCCTCACGCGACCTGATGGTCCCCTGCACCCCCAGAGAACTCGGGGTACCTTCCAGAATCAGAGCCATTTACTCGAGGAGACCCCACGCTCTGAGGGCAGCGCTGACCCCTCAGGTCTGCCTGCAGGGCCCTGGGGGCTAGCGGTCCACACACCAGCAACAACATCCCTCCGCGAGGCATTGGCGGAGGCATGGGGTCAGCCAGCGCTGCAGCAGACACAGGGCAGGAGGACCAGGAGGCGTGAGCGGGACCCTTCACGCACCTTCTGCATCCACCGTCTCCTTCATGACGATCTCCACCCGCTCCACGTGGTGCCGGTTCCACAGGCCGTCCAGGGCCTTGCGGTTCTGGTCTCGGAAAGGCAGGATCTGAGCCACGGCCTGCGGGGAAGCAGACGGGTGTGCTGTGGGTCCTCTGGGCGAAGGAGGAGCCTGACTCCCAGGAGGGGCCCCACCCTCCCTTCCTGACTCCGAGAGCGATGGCCCCTGGGCGTCAGGCTTCCGGGCCCAGGAAGGACTCCAGACCTTTAGGTGCCCTCCACGGGGCCACCAGCTTTTTATTTTGCCAGGAAAGGAAATAGGTAACATTATCTTTTGCCTATTAGCATCAACATTAAATAACAGAAAGCTACTGTAACACCAAAAATGGAATAAGGAAAGCTTCAAGTTGACATTCAGTGCTATTTTTTTCATTTTCTCATAAACAAGTGAAATCTCCCCAGGACAGGCCCTGGCCTGAGGACCACTCTGGAAATATTGCAACTCAAATGGGGCCTGAGGCCTGGGCTCGCCGCCTGGTCAGCACCGGGCACACCCGTGCGCTCTCCGCTGGCGTTTCCGGGGGGAAGTGTCCTAACGGGGCTCCGAGGGCGCAGTCAGCTGAGGTGCGTCCCCCGGCCAGCCCCACGCTCTGCCACAGGGCCCGACGGAGAAGCATGGGCCTTGGGTCCCTATTCAGTTTTAAGATCTTGCTGCCAGCCTTCTGGCTCAAAACAGAACCCAGCAAGAAAAAATATTGAAAACCAGGCCAATGGGTGTGGAATAAGGTGATCAATTCTAATTCCCACAGCATACCCAGCCAGAAGCCGGGCTCACCCCAGTGTCTCGGGGCCACCTCCGGAGGGGACACAGGGCACCGCTGAGCGATCAGAGCCTGGCCCCTGCTGGGAAACAGGACAGGACACGTGGACAAGGGCCACACAGACCTGCTCACCATCTGCCCTTCACCCCCTCACCTCCTGCCCCCCTTCAAAACGACCACGGAGCGCAGGTTTCACACGCCTTCAGGCCCAACCCCACAGTCGGTGGTGTGGCCCCGTCCACGGGTTGACCTGTGCCCAGCTCGCTCCGGCCCAGCAGGCTCACCTGCTTGCCCAGGTAGTGGTCCACCCGGTACATCTCCTCCTCGCGGAAAAAGCTCCCGAGGTCCGTGGCCAGCTGCTGCGCTGACAGGTGGTTGTGGCCGAAGGGCTTCTCCAGGACGACGCGCAGCCAGGCGCCGGGGCCCGGGCGGCAGCTGCTGTTGATGCTGCGGGCGATGTCCGTGTAGGCGAAGGGCGGCACGGAGAAGTAGAAAATGCGGCCCGCCTCCCAGAGGCCCTCGCGCTGCACCAGCGCCTCGATGTCCTTGCTCAGAGCCGCGTAGTCCTCCGTGGTCTTCAGCTGGCGGTACTGGCTCAGCCGCTGGAACTGGTCCTTGAGTTCAGCACAGCGAGCGGGTGCCACATCCTTGGGGCAGGAAAGGGACTCCAGAACCTTGGCCACGATCTCCTGGCCCTGCTCAGTGGCCGTCAGAGCAGTCCCGTGGAAGCTAAAATTGTGGCCCTTCCCCGCCTCCTCCAGGTACAGCTGGAACAGCCCCTGCCACAGGTACTTCTTGGCCAGATCCCCAGTGGCTCCCAGCAGGACTATGGAGACGTGTCCCCGCAGCTCCTGGGCCCGCAGGCAGCCCAGAAGGGCCACGAACACGGCCACCGCCAGCATCCTCCACAAGCCCGGGCGCCTGGGAGAGACACACAAGGAACAAGGAAGGATCAGACACGCTCAGGTGGCGTAATGTGGGGCGAACACGATTCCAGGCTATCGAACATTTCCTGCCTGGCAAGAAACAGCCACGTGCTTCTCAGGAAACTGCTAGTCCCCGCGCTTCCCCCTCCTCACAGCCTGTGTGAGTGCCAGGAAGCCGGCGGGTAGGCAGCGTGCTCTGTAAACAGGACTCTGCCCAGGAAGGTGGCAGGCCACTGGCAGAGGCGGAACGTTTTGCTACAGGAGCATGGGAAGGTGGCACAAGCCGTGAGGGAGGCCCCAAGGCTGCCATGGGATCGGAGCTGTCCACCTCATGACCACGGCCCGTCTCTGCCCGGCGCACAGGCTGCCTGGACCATCAGGGCAGCTCAAGGATGGTGGCTGGAGCTGTGAGAGATGCTCATGCCTCTCCCATCTCCCCTGGCTTCTCCCACGTGCACTGGCTCCAAGCACACAGTGAATACAGGTCATTGCTACCCATGGTAGTAAAAAGCATAGACTGGAACCAGAGGACGGAGTTTGAATCCCAGCTCAAGCCCTCACCTTGAACAATTATACAACCTCTCTGTCCCTCGGTTTCCTCACTTGAAATGGGAGTATTAGAGGTACCTACATCCATGGTTGTTACAAGATGACAGTGAGTTAATATTTAGATTGTGCTTGGGACAGTGCTGTATAATTATCATGGTATATTAATTAATAAGAGCAACAAACACTGAATGCTAACACGTTCCAAGCATGAACCTGATGCGCGTGAGCATTAGATCTCACGGAATGCGGACAGGAACCTCAGAAGACCCAGTGGTGGGTCCCACCTCGTCGCCCTCCTGCAGGTAGAGGAGCCGAGGCCCTGGCAGCTGAAGGTCCCCAGGTGAGAGGTGGGGGAGCTGGACAGGCACCAGCCCCCTGCTCCTGAGCTGACTGCACAGCAACGGCAGCTGCGGCTTCCCCAGGCGGGCCTACCACCTGGCTGGTTTCAGCCTAGTTTGGAGCAGCTGACATGTATGAACAGCGAGAGGCCTCGGACCTGCCACAAACGCACCAGAGGATTCGACTTCCCTGGCCTCTGTTCGACCTGAGGTTGTAAAGCTCATTGGGCTCAATTTTACTCCGAGGCCCCCCCACCCTCCCATTCCCGCCCAGGCCGCGCTCTGAGGGACAGGCCCCCCACCCTCCCATTCCCACCCAGGCCACGCTCTGAGGGACAGGCCCCCCACCCTCCCATTCCCGCCCAGGCCGCGCTCTGAGGGACAGGCCCCCCACCCTCCCATTCCCACCCAGGCCACGCTCTGAGGGACAGGCCCCCCACCCTCCCATTCCCGCCCAGGCCGCGCTCTGAGGGACAGGCAGGAGTGAGGAAGGAAGGAGGAAATCCGGCCAGCAGCGGGGTCTCAGACACAGGTGAGGGAATGGGCCCAGCCTGGCTGTGCTAATGAGGAAGGAACTAGGCCCGGCCGGTGTGGCTCAGTGGTTGAGCGTCGACCTATGAACCAGGAGGTCACAGTTCGATTCCCAGTCGGGGCACATGCCCAGTTTGTGGGCTTTATCCCTGGTGGGTGGCCTGTGGGAAGTAGCTGATGAATGATTCTCTCTCATCATTGACGTTTCTCTCCCCCCCCTCGCCCTTCCTCTCTGAAATCAATACCATATACTAGTATATATATTTTTTATTTTACTTATTCATTTTATTTTTTTAAGTAGGAACTGGAATGACTAATTAGCACCTATTATATGGCAGGCAGATAAAGGATGAACGAAATCCTCCACCACGAGTCTGTAATCTGGTCTATGGATAGGGAAACTGAGGTTTAAAGAAATCACAGGAAGTGACAGAAGCCCCGCAGCCTGGCTGGCCGACCTCCGCAGGCCTCATCGTCCCTGGATTGAGGCCCCGGATCTGCCTCCTGACTCGGGCATCTGACCCCTCCTCCACTTTCCCTGCCTCGTCCTCATCTCTCTCGGGACCCATCCCCAACGGCACCCGTTAGCAGCCAAACCAAGAGGAGGGTCCAACCAGTGTCGGCACCAGCATGCCCAGGACACCGGCATTTCCCTACTGCAGCTTTAACTGGAGGATCAAGGGCTCCACTCTCCTCTACCTGCACTCACCCCCCAACACAGAGGAGCCACAGGCCCCTTCTACTTCCTTCTCCTGTTCTCCAATTCCTGGCCCTGGCCCTGCAAGCATTTCCTTCGTCAGCGGCAATCCCCCTGGGGGGAGGGAGGAAGAGCTGCAAGGTCAGAGCAGGAGAAAGGTGAAGCCTGGAGCCGCCAGCTGGCAGGCTTCGACTCAGGGCTCCTGATCCGAGTGGCGGCCAGGGTTCTGGATGTGCCGGTACAAGCCGAGGAAGGAGCTCCAGAACCTCCAGTGCCGGGGTGAGCAGGTGAGGGGCCCAGAGGACTGCAGAAAGCAGCGATGGGTGGCCCGGGCCTGCCCGCCTCCCAGGCCCCTCTGTAATGCGGTTCTGACTCAGAGCTCTTGCTGCAGCCTCCCCTGACCAGCCCAGCTCTCAGGTTTGCCCCTTACCTCTTGTGTATGTCCCAGAACTCCTTGAAACAAGCACAAATCAGAGCTACCAGTGATTACAGCAAGTCGCTTACTCTGTGGTTGCTAAACACCCGGGAACCGCTCCTCCCGAACCAGTGTGGGTGGTGGGTGTGGGTGTGTTTGGATTGGTTTCTTGCCATGTTTGCTTAACCTTAACAGTGTTTCTCAAACTTTAATGTGCATTTGAGTCTCTTGAGGATCTTTTTAAAATGCAGGTTCTGATGCAGAGGATCCAGGGAGGGGCCTGAGATGCTGGTCCAAGGAGCACACTTAGAATAGCTCGATTGGAGTACGAAGCACTGAGTCTAGACCAGTGATGGCGAACCTTTTGGGCTCGGCGTGTCAGCATTTTGAAAAACCCTAACTTAACTCTGGTGCCGTGTCACATATAGAAATTTTTTGATATTTGCAACCATAGTAAAACAAAGACTTATATTTTTGATATTTATTTTATATATTTAAATGCCATTTAACAAAGAAAAATCAACCAAAAAAATGAGTTCACATGTCACCTCTGACACGCGTGTCATAGGTTCACCATCACTGGTCTAGACTCTAGAGCAGTGGTTCTCAACCTTCTGGCCCTTTAAATATAGTTCCTCATGTTGTGACCCAACCATAAAACTATTTTCGTTGCTACTTCATAACTGTAATGTTGCTACTGTTATGAATCGTAATGTAAATATCTGATATGCAGGATGGTCTTAGGCGCCCCAAAGGGTCGCGACCCACAGGTTGAGAACCGCTGCTCTAGAGCGACGGCTCGCATCAGAGGCGCCTCAGATCAACACACACACACCTGCCTCCTGCTCCCTTCACCACGGCGATGGGATGACCCGCTGCAGCATGCACGCAGGCTTGGATTTGCCGTCCCCCGGCAGAAGCTGGCCGCTGGCCACCGAGAGCCTAATGCTAACGCCGGAGGTGTCCGAGCAGGCAGGGTGTGCAGAGGGTTAAGTGCACCTTCTCGACCTTCCCCCAGACGCCTGGGGAGGAGGCTCTGCGTGGAGGCTCGTTTACAGCGGAGAAAACTGTAGGTGAGGCAGCTGTTGGGCTAGACCAGTGGTCGGCAAACTGCGGCTCGCGAGCCACATGCGGCTCTTTGGCCCCTTGAGTGTGGCTGTTCCACAAAATACCACGTGCGGGCGCGCATGTACAGTGCGATTGAAACTCCGTGGCCCATGTGCAGAAGTCGGTTTTCGGCCTGGGCGAGTCTATTTTGAAGAAGTGGCGTTAGAAGAAGTGGGGGGTGTTGGTCGGTCGGGCGGGCGAGGGGAGATGCGGCGCAGGTGGGGAGGTACATTGTTTTGAGGTACGTTCGCTGAGGTTGACCCCTTCCAACTCTCCCATCCACACTCCTCTTGTATACTTGTTTCAGATAGACGAGTGTGGATGGGGGAGGTGGAAGGGGTCGACCTCAGCGAACATACCTCAATCAGATTGAGGACGTTTTTAGCAAAGGCCAGCTTAGGAGCACCCTCATTAAGTTAATAACAATGTGCCTACCTATATAGTGTAAGTTTAAAAAATTTGGCTCTCAAAAGAAATTTCAATCATGGTACTGTTGATATTTGACTCTGTTGACTAATGAGTTTGCCAACCACTGGGCTACACAGCCTGAGCCGCGCTCCTGTGTAGACGGAGCGAGGCATTTCAATCAGAGGACCTGGCTGGGCCGCACACCCTGGCTTGGCAGACAGTAAGTCACCTCATCAGTTAGGGTCCACGTCTCCTCACTGAAAAACAGGGGCCCCCGAAAGCCCCGCACATGCCTGTGGCCTGAGCCCCCTCCGCTCAAGGCTCTGAGAGGGACGGGCTGTGGAAGAAATCTCCTCAAGTTACATCCCTGAAGCCCACGCGAAAGATGGAGGGGCATTCTGACCGCTGACCCTGCTATGAGTCTCTTCTCTTTATCATCAACAAACAAGAAAACCCTTAGTGAAAAGTTCGAGAAGCCGCAGGGCAGGCCGGACGGAGCAGGGGACTGAGCTGGAATATGTGGTGATTCTTGCCCGGGTCCCGCTGCTAAACGACCACACCACCTTGAACGAGACTCCTACCCGGGCTGGGCCCCGGCGTCCCACCCAGGAAATGAGGTCTGAGCTACAGGACCCACCACACTCTCCTGTCCCCAAGTCCTAGCTCTCCAAGGAAAGCAGATAACCATCTATTAGCAGAGAGACACAGCCCGAGGCCGAAGCAGCAGGTGGAAATGCAGGACTAAAATATGAAGCAATAAAAAGATAATAATCATAAAACATGAAGCAATGAGTGTCATTCATAAGTTTAAAAAATTTGGCTCTCAAAAGAAATTTCAATCGTTGTACTGCTGATATTTGGCTCTGTTGACTAATGAGTTTGCCAACCACTGGGCTACACAGCCTGAGCCGCGCTCCTGTGTAGACGGAGCGAGGCATTTCAATCAGAGGACCTGGCTCGGCCGCACACCCTGGCTTGGCAGACAGTAAGTCACCTCATCAGTTAGGGTCCACGTCTCCTCACTGAAAAACAGGGGCCCCCGGAAGCCCCGCACGTGCCTGTGGCCTGAGCCCCCTCCGCTCAAGGCTCTCCTTCGGGAGGTTTCGCGGAAGCTCGCCCTCCTGCCTCCTCGCCTGCTCTGAGAGGAACGGGCTGTGGAAGAAATCTCCTCAAGTTACATCCCTGAAGCTCACTCGAAAGATGGAGGGGCATTCTGACCGCTGACCCTGCTATGAGTCTCTTCTCTTTATCATCAACAAACAAGAAAACCCTTAGTGAAAAGTTCGAGAAGCCGCAGGGCAGGCCGGACGGAGCAGGGGACTGAGCTGGAATATGTGGTGATTCTTGCCCGGGTCCCGCTGCTAAACGACCACACCACCTTGAACGAGACTCCTACCCGGGCTGGGCCCCAGCGTCCCACCCAAGAAATGAGGTCTGAGCTACAGGACCCACCACACTCTCCTGTCCCCAAGTCCTAGCTCTCCAAGGAAAGCAGATAACCATCTATTAGCAGAGAGACACAGCCCGAGGCCGAAGCAGCAGGTGGAAATGCAGGACTAAAATATGAAGCAATAAAAAGATAATAATAATAAAACATGAAGCAATGAGTGTCATTCAGAAGTTAAGACAAAACTCTTTGAAGCTGTAAGTTATATGCGCAGAGTGTATTATTCAAGACACTCGCCAGAAACACGCTGCACAGCACAGGGCAGGCCCGAGGCCTCCTGGGGGAGGGGCAGCAGGTGGTCTTCTGGTGGCTCATCGGGGCTTTGGGGCTGACCGGGCACATGCCCAGGGTCCAGGCACCCCAGCTTCAGACTGAGGGGTCTACAGGCATCCTGGGGACTCACCTTTTACAGCACAGCTCTGCTAACATCGCAAAGAGTGGACACTGACCGGCCAGAGGGTTTGGATCAGAATCGGGGTCCAGTCTTTGCTTTTGCCCAAGCAAAAGAGGCAGCTATGGGGCACCGCACAGCTGTGCCTGCCCAGGCCCGCACAGACCGGGCACGTGCTGTGCGTGGCGGTTTCAGTAAAGCCCAGGAGGAAGCAGCTCTGGTCCTCTGGGCCCAGCAGACGAGGGCGGGAGAGGAGCAGGGGGTAAAGGTCAGAGGCGGCTGCTGCCCTGCCCCTTCCCAGCACGGCTTGGCACCCACACCTTTGCTGGTACCCACACCTTGGGCGCCCACTTTCCGTGTGCCAGGCAGGCAGGAAGGAGGAAGGCTTTCTCAAACCACGACTTTGGAATTTTTAAAAGGATGTGTAGAAGGAAAACAAGTGAAACTAAAGATCCTTTTCAACTAGAGTACAAGGGGCCGTGCCCAGTCCCTTCCGTAAGTGCCAACTCGAGTTTTTCCTGCACTCTTCCTACTTGGGGGGCCGTCTGTGCCACCTCCCCCAACCCTCGCACATGCATGTTAAACCCTGGGCCATTTTTCCTAATCTCAGAGAGTCTATTCCCATCATCTCTTTAGGCACCAATCTTGGGTCCCCATGACCCAAATGCTGTGCTGGAGCCCCCTTCCACCTCCCCACAAGATTCAAGTGCTAAACTTCCAGGAATTTTTCAAGCCAGTTGTTCAACACAGCCATTGTGAATAACTGGATGATGCAAATTTAGAACTAAACCAAGTATATTAAAAACACAGTTAAGACTACATTTTACTATTATCTATGCTCTTGACATTAGTTACCTCTGTTGTATCTGTAAGGAAGATATTCTAGAACAAGTGCTTGAAACTGGCCAGCTAGGAGTGTTTACACAGCAGATATTGGCCAACACTACATACCAGGCCCCCCACCAGCCTGCACCCCTGCGGAGGAGGTTGTTACACATTTACCAGCATGCCTGGCCTGCTCTGCCAAGTCTGCATTTCCAGTCTGGACTTTCTCCCCTAAAATGCACACTCAGACAACCAACTGCTACTCTGACACCATTGGATGGTTGTCTACAAGACTTTCCATGCTTAAAATCGAACTGACTTAACCCCCCACCTGCTCCAAACGCAGATTTCCCCATTCTCAGTAAAAGGCAACTCTATCCTTCCCCGGTCTTAGGCCGGAAAACTTCGGGTCATCAAAGCATCAGCAAATCTGACAGTTTTGTAAAAACACCCACCTCTCTTCACCATCCACCTCCACTCTGGTCCATCACCTGTCTGGGCTGCTGCAGAAACCGCTAACTGGCCTCCCGTTTCTCTCTTCCCCTGAACACAGCAGTCAGAAGTGATCTTTTACAGGCGGCTCAGATCATGTTGTTCCTCTGTTCAGGGGCCTGCAAGGCCTACACATTCTGGCCTCCCAGCTATTAGCTCTTTGATCTCTTCCCCGGCTCCCCTGCCCCTCTCTAGGCTCCAGCCACCCATTCTCCTGTCCCATGGCCTTTGTCCTTGCTGTTCCCTCTGCCTGACCTACTTCTTCTCGCAGACGTCCACTTGGTTCACCCCTCACCAACTTCAATTCTCTGCTGAAATGTCACCTTCTCAGTGAGGCTTTCTCAGCCAACTATGTAAAACCAGAAACAACCCGCCCCCAAGTCGACCCATTTCATTTCTCCCCACGGTACATGTCACTTTTTAATGTGTGATAAGTTGTTTATTTTGACGAAATTCGTGCACTGGGGCGGGGGGGGGAGGGGGCTCTCAGCCTGACCTGTGCCCTCTCGCAGTCCAGGAGCCCTCGGGGGATGTCCTGGGGAGCGGGCCTAAGCCGGCAGTCGGACATCCTTAGTGCTGCCACTGAAGCCTGGCTCAGGGCTTCTGGCTGAGCAGCGCTCCCCCTGTGGGAGCACACTGACCACCAGGGGGCAGCTCCTGCATTGAGCGTCTGCCCCCTGGTGGTCAGTGAGCGTCATAGCGACCGGTCATTTTGCATATTAGCCTTTTATTATATAGGAGGATTGTCTGTCACCCCTCCCCTCAAGAACATACGTGCCAATGGGGACAGAGGTTTTCGTGGTGGTTCACTGCTTGTCTCCAGTATCCAAAACAGGGCCTGGCACACAGAGGGTGAGCCATAAACATCTGCTGAATGAACAAATAAATTCCACTGGCACGAGACCACCGTCCCCTGTGTCTGAGCTCTCTGCGTGTGAGTGCCGGCACACAGGAACAAGTCTCTAGCGGTGATGTCAAGCTCCGTGGCACGGCGGCACACATTAGCCGCAACTTACTACTTGTACCAATACTATGAATAATAAAAGAGGTCTTTATAGAGTATTTAATCATGTGTCAGATGCTAGGCTAAGGCTCGACATGCATCACGCCACAACCTAAGAAGAAATGCTATGACTGTCCCCATTTTTAGAATGAGCAGAGAGGAAGCTAAGGTGGGGAGAGGAGAAGTAACTTCCTGAAGGTCAGGCAGCTTAGAGGTGATAGGATTTGAATGCAGGCGGACTGGCTCCAGCCCTACCTCCCCCACAACCTGTAAAAATGCGTGACTCCAACCCCAAACGGCGACACGTATACACTGTATTAGTGTGGACACGGATCCTGCTCCTCTAACAGCCGAGACACCAGTGGTTTGAATGACAGGCCATTTCTCTAGCACCCGCTGCCCACACAGGGAGGCAGCTCTACACCCTGAGGTCAAGCGGCCCTGAACACGAGCCGCTGTAATCAGCCTCGGCCCACTCTGCGTGCCTGACAGTGATTCGCTCTCCTCCTTCCTCCTGACGTCAGGAGAACACTGTGTTTAAGCCCGAGTGGCTCTGTTAAAACCAGGAAGGTCCTAACAGTTTCTGAAGCGTGAGAACTCTGGGTTCCAACCCTGGCTCGGCCACACAACAGCTGTGTGACCTGACACATCACTTAACCTTTCTGTACTTCACCGCAGAGAGGGAAAACAAGTCGATAAGAACAAAACGAGACGATCGGTATAAAGAACTTGGCACAATGCTTGGCATACAGTAAGCACCGAAGGAACGCCAGCCCCACCATTACGCAACCAACAGCGCCGTGAGTAAAGGGGCTTATTATGAAACCAACGGCGTCACGGGTAAAGGGACTTTTTCTTGCTAGCTTCCTGGCACGGCTACAAGACCAATTAACCCCCTCACGGCTGAAAATGCCAAGGAACGGCTAGCTAACTCAGCGACAGCTTCCTGACCTTCCTACCGCACAGATGAAAAAATCAACGGGAGATGATGCTGAGATGGTTAAAAGTCCCCACCCAGCCCTCGAGGGGGTTAAAATTGGGCCCAAAGAACACAGGAGAGTAAGCCTCTAACTCTGTAGCCCTAGGCCAGTGTTTGGCAAACTCATTAGTCAACAGAGTCAAATATCAACAGTACAACGATTGAAATTTCTTTTGAGAGCCAATTTTTTTAAACTTAAACTATACAGGTAGGTACATTGTTATTAACTTAATTAGGGTGCTCCTAAGGCTTAGGAAGAGCCACACTCAAGGGGCCGCAGTTTGCCAACCACAGACCTAGGCTTTCACTTCACTGCTTCAGGCTTTTCTCCAGCTGCAAAATGGGGATCATCACCTCGCTTTAACCCCTGGCCCAAACCCCCCGAAATATGATGGGAGGCAACAGTGGTGAGAACGCTCCCAAATAGCCTCCTGGCTCCCAACTGGGGGCAGCATGAGGCAAAACCAGACTCCCTGCTCCGACCCGGGCGAGGGTCGGACACACTCCAGGTGCAGCTTGCCAACCAGGGATGACATCTGTCTGGTTCAAATTCCATCGACAGTGAGAAGTGGCCGGGCCACAGGTGACCAGAGTGCCTCGCGGCTTCCCTTTCCTTGCCCACAGATGTAACTGTTTCCCCTTTAAATGGCCTAAAACCATCTGACAGTAACTTAGCAGCCCTGGCTGGGTAGTCAGCTGGTTAGAGCATAATCCTGAAACACCAAGATACACCGAGGTTGTGGGTTTGGTCCCGTCAGGGCACATGTGAGAATCAACCAATGAATGCATAAATAAGTGGAACAACATATGGATGTTCCTCGCTCTATTTCTCTCTCACACATCATTGTTTAAAAACAATTTTTTTTAAGAGTAACTTAGTCAACTCCAGCCTTTGGATACAAATGACTTGAGTGTTTGCCTGGCTTATGGTTTCTCCATAAGTTCTCATTTCTGGCAAAACTTTCAAATTTGAATGAGCTGATTTAGCGCTGGGCCCCGCGGGGCGACGGAGGAGCTGCCTCTGAGACGCACGGGGGCCGCGGGAGAGGTTGTGTCCTGGCGGAAGCCTGGGAGCCTGCTGGCTGGCTCCTCCCCAGAGTCTGACACGCGCTGTGGGAACGATCAACCAATGAATGCATAAATAAGTGGAACAACATATGGATGTTCCTCGCTCTATTTCTCTCTCACACATCATTGTTTAAAAACAATTTTTTTTAAGAGTAACTTAGTCAACTCCAGCCTTTGGATACAAATGACTTGAGTGTTTGCCTGGCTTATGGTTTCTCCATAAGTTCTCATTTCTGGCAAAACTTTCAAATTTGAATGAGCTGATTTTCAGAGCTCTGGGCATGTTTACTTCTGGAAAACTATTCATTGTATCGATGTATTGGAAACGCTGCTTGAAACCCGAGGGCTAATGCCAAAGATGAAGCAGATCCCCGGGAAAAAGCACTGAGTTCCTCCTCTCATCGAACTGCATCCCAGGGAGCCTGGGAAGGGGCCCTTTGGTCCCGGGGACTGGCCTCGCGGGGGCCAGGTTGCCGGCTGCAGCGCCCCCATCAGACGGAGCCTATGCCCAGGGGCAGGGCGCGAACAAGGACTTTATTTTGCTGAGCGGGTGGGAGAGGAATTCCGGAAGCTCTGGCCCCGCCCGCTCCCCAGCGGCTGCAGGCAGGCGGGGGTGGCGAAGGTGACTTCCCAGCAAAATGCCCGAGGGTTTTACAGCCGCGCGTGGCCCGCAGCCGACCCTCCAACCTCG